GTTTGTGATTCACGTGAAGAAAGCATTTAAGTGTTTTGCTCTGCAAGACTGCAACACTGTTATAAGGAACGGGGCACAAGGCTTAAAAAGCAACTCAGCTATGCACATAGAAGTGGGAAGGTGGGAGGAAGATCAACAGAGTAGAAATTTTGGTTTTATGATTTATCTTCCACACAACAAAAAGGTAAGATTTCAAATTCAATTGAATGTGTGTGTGGCCTGAAAATGAATATGCATTTTGAATTTTGATGCTATCAATGATGATTGAATATTTGAACTTCTTGATTTTGTATCTATGCAACTCCCTCCTTGGACATTCACAAACACAGAATTTTCACTCATGCTTTAACCATTTACATTATGCATACACAAAACCATTGAATAAATTTCTTCAACCATAGTGTTACTTTCTTCAACAAAAAACACAGAAAAACACTACAAATAAAAAGGTACAAAAATAATTGAAATAAAATAAGGACCAAAACCCTCTCCATCTCAATGAACTACCTTGCTCTCCATCGTGCCCCAAATCCACCACCGCGAACCGATTCGAGGACCATACTCTCAACCCGAACGACCACCACCCTGATAGCCAATGCGAGTTGTGCCACTCATACATGTCCTTTCCTTGCAGCTACGGGTGTAAATGGGCTGGGCTGGGCAGGGCTTTGGCCATCCTGGCCCAAGCCTACGTCAAAAAAAATTCAGCCTATCTGGCCTACTGGCCTATTAAAGGCTTTATTTGTAGGCCAAGCCCGGCCCATTTTCAAAAATAAGAAAGTCTGACATGGCCTACAGGCCTTGTAGGCCTCCTGCGATATATACTAAGCAAAAAAAATAATTGTATAGAGCAAAGAAAATTTCATTCATGCATGCACTAGTACTTCTCATAAGAAAAAAATGACAAACAAGAAAGAGTCAACATAATACCTCAGCTCTAGAATGTATATCATAGAGGAATAGAGTCAAAGAAATGGGAAAAATAAGAAAAATACAATTACTGGATGCTGAAATAAAGTCTACAAGAGAATGTCATTCATCTAAAAATCTTTAAACCACCATCAAGACAAGGGAAAGAAGAGTATTATTGAAAGATCTTCATCAGTAACATCATAATCCAGCAAGGTACCCATTGCTCCATGGTATTAAGTTGCAACAACATGTAAAATTTGGAGACATTAGACAAGTTTTCCTTTCATAAAATAAAATAGCACAAAAAGTAAAAGATATTGTTATTTGGTACTTTGTGTCTTTGCCACATAAAATAAATATTATTTTATTATTTTATTTTAATAAATTAAATAGGCCAGCCTACAAGGCTGTAGGCCGGGCTTGACAGAATTGGCATATGGCCTATTTATTAAAAAAACTTTTTTATAAGCCTAAGCCTACTTTACTTTTCTGAAAGGTCAGGCCTGGGCTGGGCTCAATGTAGGCCCGGCCGTAGGCGGGGCTGGGCCAGCCTGGCCCATTTACACCCCTACTTGCAGCGTTGAGACCAGAGGAACTATCTCATCTCATTTTTGTTTTTTTTTTTAGATTTATTTTTACCTAGTTTTTAGGCTAACGACACATTGAGGCCCATTGTTCTATTTTTATCATTTTTTTAAGGGTTTTGATTTTCTTATATTGCATGAGAACAGTGTTTTAAAACCCCATCCCACCGCCCGGGTTGACCCGGGTCAACCCTGACCCCTCCCCTCTGAGGGTTGGGGGCACAAGTTGGACCCTATATGCACATCGACCTCTCTGACTCCCAAAACCCCGCCGGGTTTCAGTGACTCCCGGGTCAGAGGGTCAAAGGGGGTCACTGCATTTTTTTTTTAAGAAAATTCCATGAAACAATGTCGTTTTATTAAAAAAAAATGCTTACAAACCTAAATCTAATCGTTCTCTTCTCTCCCAACGACCTAGACTTGTGGTATCTTGATACTTTGGTATGATTAGAATATAAGTTTTGTACTTTGGTATCTTGATATTTTAATTAGGTTGTGTAATATTGACTTGTGGTTATAATTGGTGAATTATATTAAATATACTTTGAATCTTTAATGATTGATGATTTGTTTTTTAATATTTTCATATAGGATATATATATTTATATTTTTTTAATATATAAAACCGGGTCAGCGTAGTGACCCCGTGACCCCCCGGTTGAACCCATGACCCCGGACCTCGGCCGGGTCGATGGTCGGGCCGAGTTTTTAAACACTGCATGAGAATATCATTATCATGTTGTGACTCAATTAAGAGCGAGCTTCATATTAATAAAAAAAACTTTGGACGTAAATCGAATAGTCACGATATGAGAAAACACCTTTCATACAATATGAGAAGTCATGAGATAAACAACTTTCCTACCTACAGAAAAAATGGTTGGGTCTCAGCACTCTTTTTTTTTTCTCTCTCTTCTTACCTGTAGGTCTCACTTAAATTTGATTTCTACAACATGATGTAAGTATTTTCCTACAACATAAGAAAAATATTTCCCTATGTTATTTTATCATAACCATTTATTTAAAAATTATACATTTTTCTCTCTCTTATCTCATCATCAATGATTGGTTGTAATCAAATAACATGATCACATGACAATTTTTTCCTTCGAAAAAGGATCCAAATCCATTAATGAGTGTTACAGGCTTACATCCCATTTTTTCTATTAGACTAAGTTAGGACCTTGTCTTTAAGTGTGAAAGATTAACGAATAAGTAAAATATTGTTGGGTTCATGTTTTGGGAGTCTTGATTTGTTTTTTTGGTATAAAAAATTATAAATTAAAATAGATTAATAACTGTTCCGGGTTCATAATGTGGGCCTAGTTTAACATATCTGAGGCCCATAACCAGAGGAGGTCACAAAACTAAGGCTCGTACTCGGATAACGTCAACCGGCTTGACATTAATAGCTATACCCGGAACCATAGTAGGAGCCCGGAATATGGCCTTAACCCATGTTTTAGTGGCACACGTGAATCTTACCACGATCTTAATAATGGCACTACTGTTAACTACCTACGATGATTATAACCGTTAGTAATATCATATGTAAGGATCCTAAACAGGTTAAGGAAGACAGATTACACATAAGAGATTAACCTTTTAATGTTCATACCGAACAATAACTATAATAATAAATTTTTTTGAAAAAATGTAAAAGAAAATAAATAGTGATCCGACCAGATGAGTATCCCTCGAATCGCTTCAAATCTCAGGTGGCTAGCCAGGTTTGGGCGTAGTGTTTCAGGTTTATGTTGTAGCACGAGCCGGATGTAGTGTAGAAGATGCTAAATTTGCAAGGTAGAAAAATTAAAACGACTAATGAAGTCTCATTGATTGTAATCATAGTCAATTTAAGAAGTTAGCATAATTGAGAACTTATAAAATGTAGCAATAAACATATATTGATAAGTTATAAAATATAACCGTGAACCCAGTTAGGAATATTCTAATCAATTATTGTATCTCCTTACTTCCGTCGTGTTCCAAGTCCTTGTAATCTCTTTCTCCTTGTGTTTTTTAAACTGCTTTTTCGTTGCCAACTGTATTATGAGCCCGTTTGTTTGCACTTCTAAAAAAAGTAATTTTTATCTCTTTCTTATTTTAAAAATACTTTTTATAAAAGTTAAATTATTTATATTTTTATAAAAATATTTAGTTTTTGAAAAAAATATTTGGCTTTTGACTTCTGCTTTTCTTAGAAGTTAAAATTTTTAGCTTATGAAAAAAGTAAGTTTTTGACTTTTTTTTCTTCTGATTCCTACTTTTTTAAAAGCAGACATCCAAACGAACTAAAAACGAGAAGTACTTTTTTTTTTTTGAAAAAAAGTAACTTTTAAATAAAAAAAAGCTCATCCAAACAGGCCCAATATAGGATTGTCGCTCTTAACTTCCCAGCGTTGTATGTGGAACCCACGTCGTCGAAACCCACATCTCACGGAGGGATTTTATACTTTTTAGTCTAGTAAGCTGGCTTTTTCACCCTTTTACCCCTTATTAATTAATTAATAACTATTTTGCCCCTGATTCGAAACTATTTATCAATCTGCCTCTCTTTAGTCGACTACCTTGTATTTTTAATCGACTAAATGGCCAAAACAGACAAAAAATGGTTGCTGGGAGATTTAGTCGACTAAATCTCCCTATTTAGTCGACTAAATCTTCATATTTTACAAAAAAAATAAAAAAAAATAAGTCAGTATGATTTTAATCGATTAAGTAGAGAGATTTAGTCGATTAAATCTCCCAACAACCGTTTAGTCGATTAAAAATGCAAGGTAGTCGATTAAAGAGGGGCAGATTGGTAGATAGTTTCAAATCAGGGACAAAATGGTTATTAATTAATTAATAAGGGGCAAAAAGGTGAAAAAACCCTAGTAAGCTTAATAGAGAGTTCCTTAGAATTACAGGTATAGTTATTGACAATTTTTGTTTGACTTTTAGTGTACCTATTTATTAAAGTAGTCTTGTTATAAATTTTCATTTTATTTAATATTCACACTTAATCATTAAATTAAGACATTTAAAATCTATCTTCACATGTTAAAACCATTGACTTTTTAACATGGCCCCCAAGTCTAATTAAAAGTAAACTACATTTGTCACTATCCATAGTTGTTTCCTTAGCAAGGAAAAGCATCCCCGATCTCTTCTTTCCGTTCACATGGAAGGTTCAAGCCAAGTTGTCTTTCTCCATTATGCTTCATCCACACTTTAAAATAATACTGTATGTCCTCATCTGCTTTTCTTATATTTTATTAAAACAAGTACATTAATGGTTACGCATCTCTATTTAAGTTGACTTGGCTATGGGTACGCCTCTCTCACCGTCAAGCGATTCAGATTAAAGTCTCATGAGTCTCAACTGCAACTTTCATTCTTCTATTTACTAGATACCAAGTGAGCTTCTATTCATTCTCTCCCAATAGTTAGATCCGTCCTTTAAGTGGTTGTGCTGTAAATTTCACAACACACATTTCCTTTACACTGGTTGATGATAAGATGCCTATTCATATCACAGAGAGGTTACTCTCTTGGAAATCCTTGCTCCTGCAATCATTTTGGGCCTTGTTGGGCCGTGGACCATCTTCCAGACCGAGCCCATCCTCTCAGGTGATCTATAAATATGATGTGTTTATCAGTTTCAGAGGTCCTAACACTCGTAACAGTTTTGTTGATCATCTCTATGCTCATCTCACAAGAAAAGGTATTTTCACCTTCAAGGATGACAAAAGACTCGAGAAAGGAAAATCTATTTCATCACAGCTTCAACAAGCAATTAAAGATTCAAGGGTTTCTATTGTTGTCTTCTCAATAGACTATGCTGGCTCAGCATGGTGTTTGGATGAAATGGCTTCTATATATGATTGCCAAAGAGATTTGAATCAAACTGTTTTCTCAGTTTTCTATCATGTCGATCCATCTCATGTACGAAATCAGAATGGGGAATATGGGGAGGACTTTTATTCACATACTTGGAAACAAAACCGAGACAAGGTTGATCGATGGAAGACAGCTATGAGGAATTTGGCCAATTCAGCTGGTTGGCATGTCAGGCATCAGTAAGTATTAAGTTTATTCTCTTTGTTGTTCTTTCTTAAAACGAGTTTCTCGTTAAGAAGAAAAGTTATATTAATTATTATAGGAGGCTGACTATACTTACAATCATTTTATGTTTGTAACCCCTTATTATTATTTCTATTATTGTCGGATCAAATTGAAATACTTAGTAGTATGTAGGGCTGTCCACGGTTCAATTCGATTTTGTTTTGTATATCGAACTGAATCGAACAGGTTTTAAGAAGTGGTTTGGTTCTTGAGGCAATTTGGATAAAAAGGTTTGGTTTTAAAATTTGGTTCAAAGAACGTAATGCGGTTTCGTTTAGTTCATTTGGTCTTATCACACTCCTAGGAGTGTGTATGGTTTCAGATAAAAATTGAACCGAACCAAATTAATACAGTACGGTTCGGTTTGAGAACGAACATGTTCTGTGCTAGGGACAAAGATATCTAGTTAAGAGACTAGTGAGTTTATCTTGGATCTAGGTGCTCTCTCAGATATTTATGAATTAGATACCTTTGAGTATACAGATTACTGTGCATAAGTAATAACGGCATTTGCCAAAGAAGTGATATGTGTGCACAGTGACAACATAACATTAAAGAGAGAGTAATTGTCATACTTGTAGGTTTTACCTCTTATTTATAGGATTTGCCTGTAGGTATTGGAATTCTGGACCTTTAGTAACTCCTCTAAAAGCCCAAACTCAAGTTTAATGCTGTCGTATTAGGATTAGTATCTTGGATTGATTTTCTCCTTTCTATTGCCCATTATTGAGCTTCATATAATATGCACTTCATATATGAGTCCATAACCGAATCGATTTTGAAAAAAAAAAAATAGTACGTTTATTGAAGCGATTTGTAGAAAGTGGTTTGTTTCTTGAACTAATATGAAAAACTGTGATTATTTTGATGCGGTTTAGATTGATTCAGAGTTCAGTTTAGTTCATTTGGTTTTTCTTTTCACACCCTTAATAATCTAAGTTAATGGCAATGTAGGTAGAAGTTGTAAGCATAAGTTGGTGTAAATATAACCGGCATCTATGTATATTATCCAAACATTAATTCCTATTTTTTCCATTGATTTTTAGGTTATAATTTAATGATCTTATTTTTTGTCTCTTTGTCAGGCCAGAGTTTGAAGTGATTGAAAATATTGTTCAGACAGTAATAAAAAGATTGGGTCATAAATTCTCTGGGCTTGCTGATGATCTTATTGGGATACAACCTCGTGTAACAACATTAGAAAGCCTTTTAAAATTAAAATCAAAGGAAGATGATTTTCGAGTTTTAGGAATTTGGGGGATGGGTGGAATAGGAAAGACAACTCTTGCTACGGTTTTGTACGACAGAATCTCTTATCTATTTGATGCTTGCTGTTTTATCGAGGACGTAAGCAAAATTTATAGAGATGGTGGTGCTATTGCTGTACAGAAACAAATTCTTCGTCAAACTCTAGATGAAAAAAATCTAGAGACATATAGTCCTTCTGAAATATCCGGAATTGTAAGATATAGGCTACACAACATAAAGATCCTTGTAGTTTTAGACAATGTTGATCAATTAGAGCAACTGCAGGACTTAGCTATATATCCTAAGTTGCTTTTTGCAGGAAGCAGAATAATCATAACTACTAGGGATAAGCATATTCTTAGAGTTTATGGAGCAGATAAAGTTCATGAGGTTCCACTATTGAATAATAATGATGCAAGTGAACTTTTTTGTAGAAAAGCCTTCAAAAGTGACGACAGAAGCAATAGTTGTGTGGACTTGATTCCTAAGGTGCTAAAGTATGTTCAACGTCTTCCATTAGCAATTAGAGTAGTTGGTTCTTTCTTGTGTACTCGAGATGCTATTCAATGGAAAGATGCTTTGAATAGATTGGAGAAAAATCCAGATAATAAAATTATGGATGTGCTTCAAATAAGTATTGAGGGACTACAACATGAGGAGAAAGAAATATTTTTGCACATTGCTTGTTTCTTTAAAGGGGAGAGAGAAGATTATGTTAAGCGAATTCTAGATGCTTGTGGATTACACCCTTACATTGGAATTCAAAGTCTGGTTGAGAAATCACTCATAATGATTAGAAATGAAGAAATTCATATGCATGAAATGTTGCAAGAATTGGGGAAGAAAATTGTCCGGCACCAATGTCCCGAGATGCCTGGATGCTGGAATAGATTATGGCTTTTCAAGGATTTCTATCATGTCTTGAGCACAGAAACGGTAACAAATTTTATTTCCTGAATTAGTGGGTATTACTTTCTATAAATTATTACATGCTTGAGCATAAGTGAGGAAAATGATTAAATAATCATTGGTTATTTCATTTGTGCTGAAAAATTATTTTTTTTAAGATACATTTTTTTGAGCATTTTGCATATGGAAAATGATCCGTTTATAAACTTTTTTATAAATTACACTAAGTATGACTGGTCATACACTTTTGATTGAAGTATGACCGATCATATTTAGTGTAGTTTGTAAACAAAAAGTTTGTAAATATAACTTTCCTTTTTGCATATAATCATTCTAATATTTTTGTAGCTGTTAGTAGTTTTTATCAAATTTACCCTAAAACATAAAATATTATATGATTTAAACAACTTATTTCCTATCCTTTTTAGCATAATTTATTTTTTTAATATAATCTAATCAAAACATTATCTTAAAGTTGCTTTTCAATTTTTAGAAACTTATTTTTATCCTAATTGATTTAAGGAAAACAGATTATGTATAATTAATTGTTAAATAATTCTTTCTTTGTAATTAATTTAAACACACTTACATTCCATGAGTTTTCTATTTCCATTAAAAATCTCAAGATTTTAACTATTAAATAAAGTTATATAGATAATTTATATATCTAACAAAAAGAAGTCAGATTAATTCAAATAATTCCATTTTTTTATTTGTGTAACATGTTTATTCTATTTTTTCTTTTCAGGGAACCAACAATGTTGAAGCTATAGTTCTAGATCAAAAAGAAGATGTCTCCAAATGCAAGGCTGAAGGAATATCAAAGATGAGAAACCTTCGACTGCTCATATTATATCAGAAGAATTTTTCGGGAAGACTAAATTTTCTGTCTAACAACCTACAATATTTTTTGTGGCACGGTTACCCTTTTGCTTCTTTGCCATCAAAATTTGAGCCTTATAATCTTGTTGAATTGAATATGCCTAATAGCAGCATCGAACGACTATGGGAAGGCCGGAAGGTAATTAAAATGTTCTTCTTCTTTTATTTGTTTTATTGGTATAATTATTTTTCGAAAGAAGTTGTATTGCAGGTTTATATATATATATATATATATATATATATATATATATATATATATATAGGTCGGTTTTTTCTGCAATTAATGCAGATAAGTTATTTGCATTGAGCTCAAAATGACATCGTTTTATGAGTGAATCTAAATAACTTATTTGTATATATTGTAGAAATGTTAAAACCATATATATATATATATATATATATATATATATATATGCAAAAATATTTCTACAGCAACTTTAGATAAGCTTATCTCCAGCTGCCATTTTTAACTATATTTTCTCGGGAGAATATAGTTATAACGTTAAAGTTGTTCTTTTTTCTCTCTCCTCATTTACTTTTCAGAATTTTTTTGATGACATAGAGAGAGAAAAGAGCAACTTTAACATTATAACTATATTCTTCCGGGAGGATATAGTTAAAAATGACAGCTGTAAATAAGCTTATCTAAAGTTGCTGAAGAAATGTTTACCTTATATATATATATAGAGAAGTGTAGTGCGTTTAAAAATTCAAAATGAATATAATTTACATAAAAATTTTAATAGTGACAGATTATTCTTATATGAATAAGAAGTGTAACATATGACTCACATAACTAATAAATTAGAGTTATTAGATATAAAATGGAATCACCATCCAAATTTTAGAGTGTAACTTACACTAATACAAAATGATTGTGACTATTTTAATATGTTTAAAAGGCTAAACTCAAATCCCTTAAAAAATAGGAATAGCGAATGATGTGATCAACTTCTTTGTTTAGTTCAAATTAAATTGTTTTCTCGATTATATCTTAATAGAATTGGCATTGATTAATGAAATTGAAGTTTTAATACAACATACTAATAGCTAACTGCTGATTCTCTCATCACAGGATCTCCCTTGTTTGAAAAGGATGGATTTGAGCAACTCTAAATATCTTATGGAAACTCCAATGTTTGAAGGGATCTTAGAAATTGAGCGGCTAGATCTTACTGGATGTACAAACCTTTGTCAAGTCCATCCATCAATTGGACTTCTCACAAAACTTGCTTTCTTGAGTTTGCAAAATTGTAGCAGTTTGGTCAACCTTGATTTTGGTAGTTTATCTGATTTATGTTCGCTTCGTGTTCTACACCTCTCTGGTTGCACAAGACTTGAAAATACACCAGACTTTACAGGGGCATCAAATGTTGAGTACCTTGATATTGATCAATGTACAAGTTTATCCACGGTTCATGAATCTGTTGGGGATCTTGCAAAGCTTAAATTCTTGACTTTGAAAGATTGCACAAGTCTTGTCAATATACCTAGTAGGATTAACACCATGAGATCTCTTATAACTCTAGATTTATATGGTTGCTGGGGCCTTATGGAATTGCCAATGGAAAAAACTTTCATTTTTTCTCCCACTTTGGAATCTTTGATCCATCTAGACTTAGCCTTTTGCAATCTACATGAAGTGCCTAAAGCTATTGGAGAGTTAAAGTATTTGGAAAGACTAGATCTACGAGGAAACAATATTGTTTCAGTACCTTATACTACCACTAGGCTTTACTGTTTAGCATATTTAAACTTGGCACATTGTCATCAGCTTCAATCTTTACCTAAGCTCCCATTAACAAGTGCTCCATCAGTTGGAAGGTATTTTAAAACGACATCCAGATCTCATGATCAAAGGTCAGGATTATATATTTTTGACTGTCCCAAGCTGGTTGATAATTTGTCTATTTCCCCAGATAAAGACATCTCCCTTCAATGGTTGTTAAGACTAATTAAGGTGCGTACTCTAAATTTTTTTCGTTGTGTTAGGGATGGGTTTAATTAGAGCTTTACATCATGTCAAAGGTAATTGAGTGGTTACACCATTTTCTAATATAAGAAGAAAAAAAAAGGTTAAAATCAGCACAAGATAAAAAATGGATCTATGCATTATCATTACTTGAGGCCCAAGGACTATTGCACGAGAGAAGTATTAGAAATATAATATATAGGGGTACGATATGTTATTACCGATGTTATTACCAATCAATTTCACCGTTAGATCGATTATGTTGATCCAACGGTTATATTTGTTTCCATCTTTGTATGGTTATGATTCCCATATTCAATACTTTATATTTATTTTCATATTTGTATGGTTATGATTTTCCATATTTAATGATTTCACATTAAATATGGGGAATCATAACCATACAAAGATGAAAATAAATATAACTATTGGTAGGGGTGTTAATGTGCCGAGCCGAGCCAAACTTTGGTCTTAAAAAGCTAAGCCTGTATTTAAATGTATTCGCCTGAACAAGCTTGTTACCTATTATAAATATAATTATCGGCTTGTGGCCTGTCTTATTTACAAAAAATAAAAGTCTGGTTTAGCCTATTAGCCTGTTTAAAAAAAAATAAGATAACAAAAATTTATCCAAACAAAATATACAATCAACAACATTGGTAATTCTATAAATATTCATAAATTCAATGTATATCCGAATAGCATAATATAGAATAAAATAATTTAAAAACTCTGTTTAACCAATAAAATGAGGTGAAATGGATTGAAGAGAAAGAGAGAGCTATTATAAGTAGTATAAAAAATATTAAAAATAATATACTAGGCCAGCCTGAGAGGCTCTAAGGCCGAGCTTTTGAATTGGAGCCTGAAGTCTTTTTATTAAACGAGTTTTTATAAAAGTTCAAGAGTGATTTCAACAACCAATTCAAAGCTGAGCTGAAGGCCCTGGTTCGTTTAACACCCCTAACTTTTGGATCAGCATAATCAATCAATCTAATGATGAAATTGATTGGTAATAACAATAATTGGTCGTTATAATATCCTTTATCTAATATATAAAACTAATAATATAACCTCTCTTTCTAGATCTGATATACCTCTGTGTTTCTTTTTCTTCTTCTGATATCAGGAACCTCGTCACTTTCGGTGTGGCTTTGACATTGTTTTTCCTTGGGATTGGACAAAAGAATTTGTTGTTCCATCGTGGTTATATCAACGGTTTAAAGGGGGTTCAGTAATAAGGATAGTACACTTGGATGTGGATCACAACTGGGTTGGTTTCGTCTTTTGTGTAGCATTTGAGATAAACAATGGTCTTGTTGGTTCTCTAGATTCATCCTCTTTGCCACTTGTACATCCTTTTTATCTTTCTTTTGAAAATGAATACACTGAAGAACGTTTTGATATGCCACTTAATTTGGAATTGGACAAGATTGATGGCTCAAAATATATTTGGACAATCTATATCTCTCGAAAGCACTGTCATTTTTTGAAAACAGGAGCGCATATCACATTCAAAGCTTGCCCTGGTTTGATGGTTATGGAATGGGGTTTACGCATGCTAATTGAGGAAGATGTAAGGGTGTTAAAAATTACCGAAAAACGTAGTTTTTCTTTCAGTACAGAACAACCTGGTCTTGTCATTGATAATGTTGAAGAAAGCAACAACACCCATCATCCTAAAATTCAACTTCCATACAATTGGTTGGTTACTGAGGAAGACGAAGAGGAGAAAATTGAAGCAAAGGAAAAAGAAAATAATCTCTCTAATCTAGGCTTCTGAATAGGTCATCCACAGTGAAATCACACAGCATCTTCCCTGAGGCAATTATCTTTCCATAGCAGTGTGACACATTATTATTTAACAATTAAATATCATTGTTAATTTATGATTAATTACAATAAGTAGTCATGTATCAATACTTAATAATTGTTATAGTGCACCCAACTTTGGTAAACCAAGTTTATACAAGAATTTCTTTGTTGAATATCTTGATGATCTTCATAAATTTAATTGTTGATTTTTTCTACTCCTTGCACATATGTAGAAGTAAAATAGGAAATTAAATTGTAGATTGGCTATAATCACAAGGACTGAAAGTTTTTTGTCTGATTACTCTGGAATGACCGAAAGATAAATCAGGGTTGTATATCTTAATTGTATAGTAATCTGGTATACCTTCTGTTAGAATAGTAAACATGCTTTGGCTGGAATAAGTTTTGGTTATCAGCCTATGTCTATTCTTTTTTTTGTTTGGCAAGTGATGTTTATTCTTTTTTGGAGTTACCCAACCCTAGTGATGTTTATTCTTTGTCTGAGTGTTAGTTGTTTTTGAAACAAGATTTCTTAGGAGAATGAGTGGGGGTATTATATTGAGAGGAGAGATTCTCTAGTACGGGACTATTTGTTCTCTGGTGAATTAGTGGGTTGGGCCTGGCAGCCCAACCGGCTGGTCTAGAACAAGCCTATTACTTAAATGATATTTATTTATTTATTTATATTTTTTTGGTTTGGTAAGTGATGTTTATTATTTGTTTCAAACAAATTTTGTTTGTCTTAGTGTTAATTGGTTTTGAAACATGAGGATATCATACGAAACTAAGATATGAGACATCTTCATCTTGATATGATAAACTTTGTACTATGAAGTGGAAAATGGTCATTTCATTTTGTTATAGTATCTTGGTTCATTCAAATTATAGTGCTGTCCTTTTATTCCATTCCTGACTATCATTGTGTTTTGAAGTTTTTGAACGTTCAATTTAATTTTCATGAAACTATGATGCAGATATGGAGTCTGAAGCAGGACAAGTATTTACTTGATTTAAAGGAACATGTCGAGGTTCGGAGATATGTTGTCATGTGTACACTTTCATTTTTATTTCCCTTTATTCCTTTTCTAACAAAGCAATTATCCTTCAGGAGATATATACAATCCGATGGAGCCCTACAATCAGCAGTTAGTGCTAGCAAGGTAAATATGCTTCCACTGACGAATAAAAATTGGCAATAGTAAATGATATGGAAGCGGCTCCACGTAAAAACCTATTGTTTTAAGTAAAGGCTTTCATATTAAATGAAAAGTATAAGCATTTTATAAGTAATTAAGATACATAATAAATGTTATTTTTATGGGACAGGATCATTAGACAACGTAAAATAAAAAGTTTGACACCTTATCTGAGAATTGTTAATATTGCCTTGATCTAACGACTCTTATTTGTAAGCATATGACACCGTTGATCTGTCTTGATCAATCGGCCCTTAAATAAGGTGTCAAATAATCTTACCCTTATTTATATTCATTAACTGTCGCCTTAAGCGGCACATCTTAACAAAACTCTTAAAATAGTCAGTGTTGGAGAAATTTGAAAGAAACCATAAAATAAGTGTATGTTTTGTATTCCCTTATCCTTTGGATTATTGTTCTTTTAAGCAGCGCTTCCTTCGACTCCACAATAAAGCTCTGGGATGTGGAACTAGGGAAAGTACTCTACAACTTGAATGGCCAAAAGTACAGAAACTAAATCATCCTGCATTACAATCGAATGCATAACACACATGCATATGCTATGTAACAATGGATGGACGCATTTGTCCCATGATAAAATATGTACGCTATTGATAGGAAATGGCTCAAAATTGAAGATGATTTATATGCATTTGCTAATTAATAGGAAACATGGGTCTAATGCAGGAATCAACGATTTTCTGTTGCTTAGAGCCTTAGAATTTCGTAATCATCAATGTTCCAGCATATTATATATATTTTTGTCATTTTAATACATTGCTTTCTGTTGCAACACCCAGGGATCCTGTATATTCCTAAGGGCGAGTATCTGGCCAGTGGCTCCATGGATAAATACATGCATATATGGTCCGTGAAAGAGGGAAAAATTGTGAAAACATATGCTGGAAATGGTGGGATATCTTTGGTACTTAGGTACTCGGAATACTTATTCCTTTACTAAAAATGGGAAGAAATAGAATTTAGATGACAGGTGGCTAGAATAGGCAAAGTGAATTGTATTACTTGTGATATCACAATAAAAATAACAACAATCACGTCAATTCAGTAAATTTTGAAAAATACAAGTTATAGAAATTTTTATCATATAAAATTTACCAAATAAAATTTATTGTGCAAAGTTTACCGTAATAATTCACATAAAAATTAAAGACATGACATATCAAAATAATGAATTTATAAAAATATAAATAAATAAATATATACGTATATAATAATATTTACGTATATGTTAATATGCACATATACAATATTTATAAATTATGTACTCCCGGAAGTACATTAGGTTACATTATGTACTTCTAGAAATACATAGTGTAATTTACAAAAATTTGGAAAAAAAAGTTTATGAACGGATTCTTCCCCTATATATATATATATATATGGCTTTAATGTTTTATATATATACATTTGCTCCAAAATGACGTCGTTTTGGGTTAAAAAAAATTATTATAACCTTAAAATAAATATAATAACAAAAATACTTTGATTTCTGCCTCAAAATATTTTGGGCTCAATGTAGATAAGTTATCTACATTGACATGTAGATAAGTTATCTACATTGACTGTAGAAAAAGCGAACCCAATATAATAGAAATATAAATTGCTAAAATAAATAACAAAAAAAATTGGAACGTGGAATCCCGTCGGGAGAGATTAGATGAAGAAAAGAAAAAGTCAAATAAGGTAACAAAGTAGCACTTCCATGAAGTTTATATTTTAGGAAGAAAGAAAGAAGTTATCCTCAAAATCAGCAGTCACTTTTATATTTTTTTTATTATCAAGTTTCCTCATTCTCAATTTCTTTTCTCCCCCTCTCCTCTGGTAAAGTTTTTTCTAAATTTTTCAAGACTTTTCATTCCTCGATTGCTCTCAATTTTGAAGCATTGACTAATGGTTCCTTTAGCCTCTATTTATAAGAAAAATATTATCATGTCAATGATAAATTTAATATTAATCCTGAAGAAAGCGAACCAAATGAAATAAGTGCAGCTGCTAATTATAACAATTTGGGGAATACAAAATGGCCAAATCTGGTTTTAATGGGAAACAACAAAGATTTGGTTGATGTTGACATGTGTAATAACTATATTGATATGGGAGAAAAATATGATAAAATTATAATTATCGCCAACAACTTATTTGCCCTATCAGTAGCTCTTGTTGTCTCAAGAGATAATCTGGATCTAGAACCCAAGACTATAAGAATGCCATAAGCATTCAGACGAGAACGAATGATAGGAGGAAATTAAGAAAGAACATAGGTTTTCAATGCCCGACATCAATTATGATGTTTCTTATTCTCCCATAATGAATTTTATTATGTTTCGTTACTTGATTAGTGTGGCAGCTAAGATACATCTTGAGATGCATTTAATGGACGTCGTGACTGCAAGGTCACTTAACAATGATACTTATATGAAAATCCCTTAAGGATTCCCCATATCCCACATAGGAAAGAATGGAAATCACCACATTTTAACATTAAGTTGTAAAGATCATTGTATGGTCTCAAACATATTATTGTTTCAGCTTGCAGATCAAGCATCTTCCAAAATGTTATTTTATTTCACCAATATAATTATATAAGTGCCTCGATGATTCATTAGAAGTGAATAAAGATTCATATAGACCTAAAGAAGCTAATGAGATAGGATTAGAACCTAAACCTCTTTATCTTAAGCACCATAAGAGCACTATTATGCCCTAAAAATTGCAACAGGCTTGGTATTGTATTTATAGTAAAAGTCCTAGCTAGACATAATGCTTTCTTACCTAAAGACATTGGAATGACGTTAATCATATTTTGGTTATCTTCAAGGATCTTTTTATGAGATAGAGATTTACATTGGTGGAATATTTTGATAATCACATATTAGATATGTATCCCTTTATGGAGGCATTGTAATGTCATGAAAGCCTGTAAAAACAAAGCCTAGTAAAAAAATGTGTTTAAAATAACACATTAATATTTCATGTGGTTTACCCACAATTGATAATACCCCATCATTCTCTTTTTTTTTTAGGGGGTGCAATGCAACTTGCATTGAACAAATGAATGATGGAGAAATTGGTATTCATCAAGTTCACTCTAGTGACAATCTTACTGATTTATTGACTAAATCCCTCACCAGCTTCCGAATATGAGAAACTGGTATATAAAATAGGTATGCATAACTTAATAGATTACTTTCATCAAAGGGAGTGAATCAATTATGATCATCCTTAAAAGATGGAGTCCTGAAGATTTATTACTGTACTTTATTTTCTTTTGCCAAGATTTTCTTTCCCAAAGGATTTTTCTTGGCAAGAGATTTTTAATGAGGCAGTTTGTGCAATGCTTTGATAGCGCAGGTCGTGTACTTTTTTTTTTCTATTTTCTATTTTTAAAAGATTAAAGAGATGAAAAGTAATTTCAAAATCATGAAATCATTCTCAATGGTATGAAGTTTCATGAAAACTTTTTCTAAAATGTTATTAAGGGATTTTCCATCTTCAAAACACATTTTAAACTAGTGACATTGTTTTTATGAGATTTATAACATTAAGAAGCAAGTGATTTATGGATGAAAATCTCATATGCTATAGGATTCGAAGCATATATATTCTAGTAAAATAAACCTTATATGCAGTGACAAAATTCAATATATAAGATCTAATTCGGCATTTCTGTTATGCTAAGTATACTTCTCATGTAAGGAATGCATCTACCATGAAAAAAAAATACTTCATCAACAAGTAAGTAATCGATTAC